AAATGTGTAGTTGAGATGTCATGTCTTGCTTTAGTTTTGAAACTGTAAATAGTTTCGCCGTGTCAAATAAGACACGTGTACCTTTCCTACTTAAGAGAAGAGTGGTAGGGTGTGGTGTCCCCGTACACGCCCCTCCCCACCGTTGCCCTGGATCCGCCCTTGGAGGATCATGCACGCGCAGAAGCCGACGCGGAGTAGCATGGCTCGGCTTGTGGCCAGCATGCGGTGCGTGTGTGCGTGTAATTCTAACCAGCGGCGTTTCTGAATATAGCTCCTGACCGGACTTGTGAGTGTTGGCGGTGCAGCCGCAGTGACTGGGGACTCTGAGGGTAGAACACGTTTTACGTCGGAAGCATTTTCTGATATCGTGGTACTCTGACACAAGCAGCAAAACCAGCTTTGCTGTAACCAGCTTTATTGTTTTCCCAGTAATTTTATCTTCTTCTTGTTTTCAGTCACTGTGCACGACTCCTGTCTGTATGACATACGTGGCTTATTTCGCTTACATTCTCAGGTTAATTCGTCAGATCAAAGGCCAGGACGTGAAGGACCAGGGACTTCGCCACGGGGGGCTGCTGTCATACTCCTCCAGCTGCTCGAGGGAGAGGAATCGGTGATCAACGCGGTAGAAACAGTTCCAACGTGTGCTGCCATTCGGAAGGAAATTCGGGATTCATCATGTAACTGCGTCGTCAGCATCGAGGACTGCCCGGTAGTCGGGGCGCCACACTGGAAGGGGCACTCCTGCTGTTAGCCATGACACACAAAGCGTGCAGACAGAAGGTGTCTCGGGCTAGTCGTTCGACCGCGTGGTTTTTCGCTTGCGAAATGATGGGCCAAGCGGCAGAGGTCACATCCACGGTCGACCCCACAAAAACCTGGTTGAGCTGCACGTGAAAGGGACGCCCCACCGCCGTTGCTGTGTGCCTCGAGGTGCAAGACAGGAGGACATGAAGGGACGTTCCATCGCCGTTGCTGTGTGCCTCGAGGTGCAAGACAGGACACGTTCAGTAGCCGCTACGGTGGTGTCGATGGGGTTTCCGCATTGGGATAGAAGAAAACGTTTTGCTACTTTATCACTCGCGTCATCGTTACGTTGCTGCAATCTGTGATTTGACCTCGTTGCTACACGCATTTTTAACATAGTCGCGTTGTCAGTAGTCTTTGCCTTCATATCTCGTGGCCAAACGACATTTGGCTTGACCTGGCTCTCACCATCCACAATTGATGTTCTTTGCGTTGTCTTTTTCAGTAATACACGGACCTGAAGGCTTTTGACCTTGTTTTTTGGTGGGGGCATCGATTGGCTGCTGTAAGTGAAATACGCATAAACCTGTGACTGGCATAGTCGGGGAATTTCCAGCGTATCAATGGAGCGGCAAGGAAGGGTGTGGTGTGGAGAAGAGTGGCAGGGTGTGGTGTCTCCGTACACGCTCCTCCCCACCGTTGCCCTGGATCCGCCCTTGGAGGGTGCTGCACGGGGTGCCCAGAATAGAATTGCCTTCTGCCTTATAAGGCCATGGGGTGCCCAGAATACGTATTCCATGGTATTAGCATGATATAGGTATCTGTGGAGAATAGAGAATGTCAATTGTATGAAACACTGAAATGCCCCGGAGCATAATACAGAATTGAGGAGTCATAACAGGGGGCTGCTCCAGTTTCTTAGCGGGAGTCTTAGGGCCCGGCTAGGATCTTAAGGATATAATGCAAAATACCGGAGGAATAACAGGGGGAAAGGCATAACATTAGGAGATGTTGGGGCAAGGCTTTAGACCGAGACTGCAGATTTTCTGTAAAGAAATCATTTTCACTGCATTCGCATCCACAGCGTCAGCATTGGTCCGTATTGGAGACGATCTTGCCCGACCTCCAATATACGCTGAGTGCGTCCATCATGCTTTTCTCCGTGCTCATTGCCCTCCCGCGTCCCTGGGTTTGGTTCTCGGCTGTCCGGAGGGCTACACACGGACGACGTATCCAGTATTATAGGTTCCGAGGACACGCCATCGATGGCAGGTTCATCCGGCCTGACTGGCCCGTCTGGTTCCTGTACGCACCGCTCAGGACGGCGGCCGGGGCTGTCATCGCGGACGCATGCGTAGGAGGACTCAGGCTTGCACATGCGCCTGCCCGGCCTGGACATGGTGGAGAGCCCCCTGGGCACGCCGACGTCCTCCTTCCGGCGCGCGTGGCGTCGGCGCAGCTGGCGTTCGCGGCGATCCGGCAGACCAGAGGCGGCCTCGTCCCACAGCGCGCTCAGCGTAGGCGCAGCCAGACGCCCCGGATGCCCTGCAGGGACACCGGTTTCGGCCGATGTAGGAAACTAGCGTCCCTTCGGGTCTGCCCACGGAATCAAGACTGTAGAGACCCAGAGTTGCGACTTTATAATGTCACTATTCCCCTTTGTAATGATGCCTTTTTCTGGGCCTCACATTTAAGCAACAACTGCAGATGATAAAGGTCAAGTGTCTCAGGCGCATGAACCTCATGAAAATGATGCGTCGTCCCCCCCCCCCCCACACCCCAGCCCCCGGTAAGGCACCACCTTTCCGTGGATGGGGATTGTGTGCTCCAGTAATCCTGTGGACGGTTGGGGAGGTTTGTAAAGCGCCCCTTCTGGCCAGAAGGAGGAGCCAGACTAAACGTGCCTCCCGCAAGGGCACTGACGTCGGCCAGGGCAGGGATTACCGATTCCTCGCCCCAACTTTCAGTCTTATCAGGGTTGTCGCGCCCCGCTGTGCCCCACAGGAGCGATGTGAGACGGGTCATGGTTGCTGAGGTGACCGCCTTGTGGGTCAGTCTTGGCGACCAACCACACTCTCATTTGGCCTGAATTTGCCCACTTGTGGGTGCGCCGTCTCGACTACTCCGCACGCCAGTAACCGGCCTGTTAGGCGCCGTTTAAATGACGAGACCTGGGCCGTGGCCGAATCAAGCATGCGACGTTGTTTTGGGAATCTAAAACAACTTTTGCCGCCTGTAGAAACATGGGGTCACAAAATATCACCATGATTCTGCAAGTAATTGAGACGGAGTGTAAGCACTACGGATGGAAGTTTTTCAGGCTGTCGTCCTCGTCTTGTGTTAGCACACAGATACACAGCGCTTCGGTTAAACTCTCCGGCCCTCGTCGGGTTATTGATGGTCCGGAGAACGACTCGTTGGTTTTTCCTTTGAAGGCGATGATTTTGATTTTGAGGTAAAATAAATGTAAAATAAATTTATTAAAATATCTTCAAAAAAATTGTCAAGTGAAATTCGCGCTTGCTTGACACAATTTCTGTTGAATAAATATGCTCTTCCATGCGTCATTGTTTGATGACGTCATCGTACCTTGCACAACATTGATCGCGATCCAACTGACAGCAGTTATATCTGAAAGTCGTACTCGACATTTATATGCTTCTTGGCCTTGATCGCCGCATGGCCGATGGATTGAAAGGATTTGAATGACATTATTAGGGCGTCATAGATGCATGGGTGACCTGGAAATAGTCTCCTCGAAATAGTTCGCATATCTTCGCGGGCTTTGCGAGCCGGAAGCTGGAGGGGTTTAGGTCTTAAGGGTAGGACGGTGAACTGCGCCGGATAATCTTCAAGATGGCTTTTTCAGTTCGAAACCACATAGAAATGTGGAACACTCAATTTAAGCCAAACGTGCGTCCCAGCTTCGATAAGAGTGAAAGGATATTGGAGTGAAAGGATGGGCAAGGCCTATTTGCAGAGTACAATTTCAAATGCAGTAAAAAATCACCACGAAAGAGCCGCGGCCAGCAGGTCAGCACGGCATGAGAACAAAGTCATAATACAGACCCCATGCTCGACGCTGAAATCGACACGTAAGTCAGCAAGACAAAACCGAAGCCGAGGCCAGCTATTTCAAATGGCATGGTGCCAAAACCGAAAACGAACAAACAGTAAAATACGGCTCAAAGCGAGGCCGAGCCAGAACCCATCGTAGAAAAGTTGTGGGTTCGCGAGGCCGACACCCCAGCAAGACGGCTTCGTCCCTATGCCTTAGCCGAGTGTGCATTTGTTGAAGTTCGCGCGCGCAACTGATCGAGAGCAGCAACACAAAAGCGTGGGTTATTTAGTTAAGCTGGTGATCGCCTCTGGTTTCTGAATAACCTCAAATCTTGCGCTGTACTTGTGATTATGTCGACCAAAGGCAGCAAAGTAAAACCAATAAAAGTGCCGGGTGTACAGATGTCCTGACAGTCTTGCAGGACAGACAACACGCTATACGCTGCTCATTTGATGCAGAGCCTGCATTATGCAATATAGCTATATCTTTGGTATACGCTAATTAGCCGGGTGTGTGTACCTTACGGTGCTTTCAGCAATATTGTAAAGTGGGGCAGCCAAACAGTAACGTTTGGGCAATACAAAAGGGCGATGTTCATGTTCACGCGCTGAGTTGCGCACCGGCCAGTTACCAGCAACGACGCCACGTGGGTCATCGATACAACATCGGCTCGTAGAAAAGCTATGATACATTTAGACATGATGATGAAGATAAAATGGCACACCGATATGGAGTGCAACTGGGCTCAGCATGGGTGTGGACAAGCTCTAAAAGCCTTAAAGTTTGCCAAAATCGACAAACCAGTTTCGAAGCACGGATTACCTAAGACACTTGCAACCAACGAATCGGTCATTTAGTGACTGGCGGCAAATGCCTATGTCATCGAATGTAAAAACTCCGCCTTACTGAATCCAGTGGTGAAAGCTCCATGAAAATTGGCTGATTAGCTTCGAAGAGTGGGAGTCGAGAGGCTTCAAAGCGCCTGCGTCATTTGGTCACCTGTGGCGTATGTCAAGGTCACTTAACTGTTTATAGGCGATAGATCGACCAAGTTTTATCGAACGATAAAGGTTTGGCAAAAATCGGATCTATGGTTTCTGAGAATATGGTGCCTTGGTAACAGAGCACAAATATGCAAGTTGTCTCGCTGGAGCATGCGACAAATCGCAGATTTAGCTGATGACAAACGCACTGTATGGTGTATAATGCATTTCGTCACACATTACATTGGACAGAGCGGTTCTAGGCAGGGCAACATGTGTTTCACTCATGTTTTGTGCACACCAAATGCTTTGCACCCCTGGTTACCTATTCTTGAGTGGACGACTTAGAACCAAAGTATCACATGAGGACAAAACACGTCAGCGCAACAAAAATATGACGTGTGCGTTGCGAGATGGTGCACGCACTTTCTCAAGATGTCGCTGTTAGTACCAAACCATACATCACGCGCATCTCCACCCGTGCGACGCACATGGAACCTGTGTAGTAAGCCAGCTGGGCTGGGAGCTGGACATACCACGTCACAGCAATCCATTCAATCGTGCAGCCATCATTCGACATCTGATCTCCCCAATGATTCGTGTTCGCCGCACGCAATCGTCCCCGATTCCTGACGTAGGGAGTTCGTCCCACTAGAAAGCCGCACTCACACGCGGCGCTGCGGCGGGCACAACCTTCGCATCGGCGGATCACACTGGCGGCGAGCCCGTGCCCGAGCCGCGCCTGCGTCCCAGTCCCGGCCCCGTCGCCGACGGCGCGGTCACGGGCCGCGCGCGCCGACCCCGCCAGCTCCGCCAGTCTCGCCTCGGCGCCGGACCGGCGGGCGCCACCTCATCGCCACCCACTGGTCACTCCGAGATCGCACACGGCATGCCGGCGTCATCGATCATTGCGCATCAGCGATCAATGCGCACAATATGTCGTAACGAGTTCACAGCTGGCATGCTCGCACCATGACCATGTTCAGGATCACAAACAGCGGAGCCATCACCTCAGAATACTCGAACCCGATGTTGTCCGTCAACTTGCGCACCAACAAGTACTTGAACGTGAACATCTGAAATGGTCAGAGCGGATGCCGTGAATTTGGCGCCATGCCATTTAGCCACTCGCAACATTTCATACAGGATCACACAGCTGTGCAATATTGGCAGCTCGTAAGGCAAATGTTGAAATGGAAACAGGGGCTGTATGCAAGAATCCTTCGAGCCCATTCGAAAGTATTACCTCTCACGTCGGAAACGCGGGAGGTAAGCCGCGAGCACCCGCAATCGTTGATCGTTCTTGCAAAAGAGCATGCACTGCAATTTCGCATATGCCCGTGGTTTGGTAACGGAGGTGAACTGATTCCGGCGACGCTGGGCACCTGCCCCAGAACGGGCGCATTGCTCGGTATGACATATACTGGGCCGTCGGCTGGCACCCGGCCAGAGGACATCACTTCTCGAGTAAGCGGGTGGGTGGTCTGGTAAGGCGGTATTTTTCAGCGCACATTGACCTGCCGGTGCAAGCAGCCGTTCATCCTTACCAGCGCCAGCACGAAGAAGCTCCAGAGGGCGCGCATGGCGGCCGGCTTGTACCATCCGTCGATGTACGTGCGGATCAGCATGATGACGCAGAAGTAGGCCGAGAGCGCATCACACACAAACTAGCGGCGCCATGGCGTGCCACCAGGTGATGGTGTCGGGGAACAGGTCGCGCAGCACCACCAGCACGCAGAACACCAGCGCGGCGGCCAGGTGCAGCCAGATCTCGAACGGCGTCAGGCCCAGCCACTGCGTCAGCTCCTTCACGGAGAGGATCATGGCGCCGCGCTGCCGCCTGAGCGCAGCGGGCCGGACACTCCGCGGCTCCGGCCGCACACCCGAGATGCCGACGGCGAGCGCCGGCAGCACACCGCCTCCGCGGTCCAGGCGGGGCTCACACCAGCAGTGTCTTGGCCAGGCGGATGTGTATGGCGCTGACGCCGCGCACCTGAGCACGAGCCGGCCGCGTCTCGTCGTGCGGGATCAGATCGTCCACCACGCGCTGTGTGGACGTGTTGACGGCCAGCGAGAGCGTGTCGCGGTGGTTGACATTCAACTGCAGGGCCAGATTGATGGCCCGCGGACTGGCAGCGCCCAAGCCGTGGATGAAAAGCTCGTTGTACCCCTTCTCGAACAATCGCTCACAGCGGACCAGTTGGGCCTGCAACACAGGTGGTGTAATTATGTAACGCGCGTGTAGCGCAACAAAATCTGACCTTAACCGCGCTGGAAAAGCATTGCACTCTGCTGGATCCCCAGCCACGTTGGTATCATAGGTGATGAGCCCGCAGACGCGCAGCGCAACGCGCAGCCCACGCACCATGTGGACGACCTCTACCTCTGCCGTCCGCGAACTTTAATGCAGCGATAGCTGCTTATGTAAAAAGCAAATGGCAGCGATGATGATGATGACTGATGGGATGTGATGATGCTGATGTGATGATAATGTGACGATGTGATGATGATGGGATGCGGAGCAAAATAACAAGCTATGGGCCATCAAGCCACAGTTGGGCCTTTGGCTTTCTAGCACACATGCGTTAAGACACGAAGAGGTCATCACACGTCGCCTGCGAATCGGCCACACATATGCAACGCACAGCTATCTCTTGTGCCGTGGGGATAGACCTGAATGCCCCAGACGCAGCATGCCTCTGGCTGTTCGCCACATTCTCCACTCTTGTTCACATTTCACGGAAGAGCGCCTACGCCACTTTGAACGACAACCTCAGGATCTAAGCTCTTCGGACATCTAGGGAACGATTCTGCCTTGCTGAACTCTAGTCAGTTGTTTTCATTTCTTGCAGACATCAAGTTTCCAGTATTTTTCTCTCCCGTTTAGTTAAAAAACATCCCACTTCCTGAGTTACGTTATGGGTGCAAAATTACCTGTGCTGTCGACACGCCCTAAAACTAAAATAATCGTCATCATTATTGAGGCGTCCAGGCGCGCCAACGACCGAGGTCATTTTGCGCCCAAAATTAACTCTCCCCCTTAACATACTCGGTATGCCAGTCATCTACTGCATTTAATACCAGCTAGCGACTTATCTAGTTCCTATAAATGGATCTCAGGACCAGATCCCGGATGTTATCTTGGATCTCGCCTTTTCATTTTTTGCCATCAAATCGTCATCCTTTTTGAAATGTTATCGAAATCTCTGCACTTCGGGAACCATCGCCACATCTTGCCCAAGCCCTGTGAGCCCTGGATTTTCTGTAATTTTTTATAGGCTTTTTAAACTTTTTTCATAATTTTGTCAAAGGATCTGTTTTCATCCATGATCTTTGAGGATCCAAGCAGATGTCAGCTATATTGCATGCTGGTCATTTTGACAGCTAATGACAGTTATGTGGTGATAATGTAAAAATGGCAAACCTTGAAGTTAGTTTTCTTGTTCACGTAAACATCATTGGGTCGTCTCGGAAGCTTTCTTGGTAGGCGTTTTCTTAGCTGGTATTCCTCCCGATCAAACCTTTCTTGATCCTTTCCTTGATTAACTTGATCCCTGTTCTGTGACTCATCGGCATCAGCCATCATAACATCTGCAACACAATAAATGCACACATGACTGGTCAAAAGCCAAGCAAATATAGGAACATAGTTAGAGCTACCTGCTTACCAAATAACTACTCATCTTTAATCCAATGACATCTTGCCCATGTGGAGAAGCAAAAGAGTAGTCATACATTGTGCCCTGGCAATAAATTTTGAATGATTCGCAGCCTTATATCCACTGCACCACTGGTGATAAACAACCCACACTAAGTACAAATGCAGTGAGACAACTCTGACTTGTGAATACTGGAAGACAATGACATAATGCATTATCAGCCTGCTCTGTTCTTTTCTCTGCTCTGCTCTCTATCTGTTCTTTTCCAGGTGTGAGGAAAACTTTTCAAGGTTGTTGATATATTATTATTGGTTGGTACTAGGTTTTATTCCAAACTTCTAGCATTTTGATTGCAAGGATTTCTAAAATCAGAGCCTATGCAAGCCTGTGGTTGTATGAAATGACCCCCACCGCCCCCACACCATTTCATCACAATTTCAGTTCCACGGCAGAACATGATAGGAAATTTCAGCATGCCACAATGCTCAATATGGTCAGCTGCACACTATGACTCATCTGACCCTGAATAGCTACTGCCATCAGCGACAGGCCATCTCGGTCAATGTAAGAAAGACTCCAGCCTTTTCTTCATATTTAAGTGCTTTTGTCTTTTCCTTGTGCTTAGTTAGGTCAGGGTATACACTGCTACCTCATGTTAAGAAAGAGCATTGTACATCAATCGTTGTTTTGAAGGCAGAACATATTGTAATGAATCGTAAAACAGGTCATCTAAGCTCTTGCCTTGGAACTTAAATAACTACGATAGCGAACACCCGAGCGCAAACACGCGGCAGCCATGAACCCGGCGCCATTTCTACCACCATTTCTACGCGTGATCGCAACATTACTGCGTGATCACAACATTACTGCGCATCAAGAACCATAAAAATGTACGAGGCCAAGGTAACAAGAGCTCAACAAAATGTGTTTCTTGCGCATCCAAGCAGTCTTCCATATTGTTTGTAGATTGGTCAGCATGGTGGGGAAATATGACGTTTTTGTGTAGGAATGAAGAGCAAAATGAGAACATGGCAGGTAAACAAAACTTCTTAATATGGTACATGTATATGGCATGGAACATGGATGCCAATGGGACACTGGGCTGAAGGGGATAGGGTGGCAGTAAGGTTAGGTTAGGTCAGGTTAGGTTAGGTTAGGTTACATGTTCTGGACTATTCTGACCTGTTTGTTTCATAAATGTACCTAGACGTGATAAGAAATGTTTTTCATTTTCATTGTGTGCGGTGCTCGGGAGCTCGCCATCGTAAATATTACAATTTGAAGGTAGGAGCATGAATCCACCTGTCTTAAGATCATTTACAATATGTTCTGCCTTAAACACAATGAATGGTGTACAATGATTTATTCTAATGTTAGGTAGCAATTGTAGCAGCTACACCCTTAGTTACTATTGAGTTGGAACCTCCCAGGTATGCAGTTCCATTAGTATGTACCTGAGTATGGGCACATTTCATTTTTTCCAATGGCAGAGAAAGACATTGCTCCCACATCACTGAAGGCCCAGTTGATGGCTATGATACAGCCTTGCTGCTGTAGTTTGTATGAGTTTTGGAGTGCAAAGACAGCAGTAGTAATTTAGTGCCCCCCTCTCTCATGATACACTCTCCACTGTTAGTTAAGATTTAAAATCTCATTGCCCTAAAGTAACCAATCAATAAATTGTGAGCTTTAATGTCATTCCTCCTGAAGTTTATGCCAGACTGGTTCACTTGTATTTTCTGCACCTTCTTTTCAACATTGTGGCTAGGCTAAAACCCCCACACGTTGCTGGGGGTTTTAGCTCCCACACATTGCATTGGGTTTACATATTGCCAGAGTATAATGGAAGATGATTGTGTTTGATGTGTGCCAGCACATACAATGTTCAGGGTGATAATTTTTCATCTTCTAAAAAGTAAGGTGAATTGCTTGAAGGGGATCCAAAAGATACTTGGAAAGGCACATGGAGTAAGAACCAACCTTCCGCAATTAGGGATAAGCCCTACCACTGCGGGTTAGGGGTGTACCTTCCTTTTCAGTTGTGGGAGGGGAGGGGGGGGGGGGAGAGAAAGGGAGGGAGCGCGGCTCCAGCTCCCAAACATCTCGTGGACCGACCTTGCCACCTTTTGCAGACCAGCCCGGTCACCGCACCACACGGAGCGTAGGTGCTCGAAAGAACACAATGCAATCCACGCAAAACCTTCTCTCCAAGCTTTCGGGGATTCTGAGGGTTTTAAAAACATGCAAAAAGTACTCACCAGGAGCTGAGCACCCAACACCTCACATATTTCACATGTCTGCCATGCCCGTCAGCAAACCCGTGAACTATGTCTTGTTGTCTGTGACGCGTCTGTTATGTCTTCCATTCATCGCTGAACGATGAACGTTTACGAACGCAGATGTCAGCGAATGTAAGTTTTTTGACCAATCAACAGTCGAGTTATAACATTTCACCAATCAGAAGCTCAAATTACGGGGAACGAAAGCTCTAGGTGAGTGCCATCAGTGAAACAATAATTGTGGGATCCGTATTAATTGTGGTGTATAATATTGAGCTGGCTTGGTCCGTGCGTATGCTATTTTATTGTATTGTGTGCAAAGGTGTAGAGCCAGAAGGGATAATCTTGTCTCAAATGGTGTGATGCAATTATCAATTGCCTTTAGTTGCAAACAAAATAATTGTTCCAGGTAGGTGCTAGGTGATTCCCCACGGTTCACCAACATCCCCGCCGATCTCGGCTAGAAATTGTGGCAGGGTTGTAGATCCCTTGCACTGCTACTGTGGCCTCAGGTGCTGTGGCTGGACCAATCATCTCGATAACACCCATTTAAAAATTGTATGATGCGTTCTACACATTTTTCATTCCTTCCCCATGGTACGTTCTCAGACTCTTTGAAACATACTTCACAGTTTGCAATCAGATTTGAGTGCAACATTACACTGCTCAAAGTGCCCTCCCCTTGCCAGGCATCAGTCATGCTGTACCAAATAACATCCCTCTCTCTCTCTCTATGTGTAAGCTCTGTAATGTCATTTATGGACAGTATGTTGTGTCCAAGCTGTGATTTACATTGATCTGAATGGACATTGACAATTTGCCACATGAAATGCTGTGGTTGATTGGTTGTTAAATGTTGCAACAATTGCAGTGGCTTTTGTGCACTCAAGATAAAACTTTGTGCTGATGGGTGGTGATCTGTCATCTTCTAGGAAGCATATGAAATTGAGATACCTTTTGGCCCTTTTGGAGACAAAATTTTCTTGGCCTGAAGATTGGAAACCCACTTTTCAAATTTGACCTGGAATGAAACTATGATTTACCCCCAGTTTGTGCTATAGCAAGCACAAGGGACAAAGGTTGTGAAGCAGTGTCAATGAAATGTCACGCTGATTTTTAGCTGTTGAATGCTTAGAGCAGTCTGTGGATATTACATGGTCATCTAGGCTTTGCTATGAATATTTATTAGCCGTGAATTGTGGGCTTTATTTATATGTGATCATAAAATTAATTCCTCAGTCACCACTCTTTGCCACCCAATTTTAGATGTTCCATCTGGCTGCCTTTGGCTTATTTGAACACTGATATAATCATAAATTAATAACCAAGTTTTGCCTGATTCTGATTTTTGCATTTGTTTAGGACATCATTTTATGATTGGCAATCAGAATAGACTTGATGGCAGGCCACAGGCATTGACACAGGGGGACAATGTGGCACTCCGTCCCTATTCTTTTTGCTACATGACTGAGCAGTCAAGGGTCTGAAAGCCCAAGTAACAGACCAGCCAACATTTTCCCTCTCCCCAGCCTCAAAGCAGTCAAAATATAATAATGTACCTTCTTGCTTGTTATCATCCTGTACAATACCCATGATATATAAATGTAAGGGTATGATCACTTTGCCATATAATTACACTTATTAGCAATGTACTTCTGTTGAAAATGTTTTTATAAGGAGTGTGTATGCATTGATTATGATGTGCTTATAAGCTAGATCCATGGGGGTTATTTGTATTGCTATTCAGCTGTGTACTGCACAAGCCAAAAAGGAAAAGGTGGTACAAATACAAAATATCATAAACTTTTATTGATGCATTTCTTATTTTCTAGTTGTAAAACAGTGCTGATTCACCATCAAGTAGATAAAACAACAATTATTTTCTCAGGCTAGCTGGAGATGCAATCTATTTTTCCAGTGCTAAAGTGGCCTGATAGTGTATTGCTCAATCATCTAGGGCTTGTATTTTCCTATTGACTACTGACATGACATATTCCTTCTCATCATGACTATTCTGTATTCTCCATACTGTTTCATAACAATGTATGCAACCATTCTCCATTCTGCAGGTGATGCACACTGGTTCCAGTACTTCTGGACTGGCAATGGCAGAAGGAAAGGGCCCAATTCTGCGTGAAAGTGCAGATATTTCCCGCCTAATCACCAGCCATGCTGTTAACAATACTGCTGACACAAGCCGGAGTGCTCTTCATGCCTATGAGGTAATGTGTTTTTCTGTTACCCATTCGCTTAGTTTGACGCATAGGGGTAGAACATTGTGAATTAATGTATGAAGCATAATATCTCTGGATTCTTCATTCACACTACAGTGTGCAAAGTGCTGGAAGGCCTCATCCTCCATGTCAACCATTCTCACCACATTGAGCCTGTGATCTGATCAGGCAGCATGCTCTGGCATGTGGCAGGTGGCGCTGAAATCGACCCGCGACAAGTGTCAGAAGCAGACAGAGCAGCTGCGCCAGCTGGATGACGAAACACGCCAGCTGTTGGCTGACAAGAGCGGCCTGCATGCCGAGATTGAGCAGCTGCGCGACACCGTCGGTCGGCAGCGCGACAGAGCCGGCCAGCTGCACCGCCAGCTGGCCACCAGCCACCGCGAGTGTAGCGCCCTACGCGAGCAGGTGGCGCTGCAGTCGCGTCAGCTGCTGACGGCCCGCCGCCGGCTGGAGGCGGCAGGCCTGGAGGTCGCTGACCTAGCGCCCGCCTCCATCGAGCAGGCCAACCGTGGCACGGACGAGCTGCACGTCCAGGTCGGTTGGCTGGTGACAAGTTGCACACGCTGCCTGACCCGTGGCCCGGCCGCCGCGCGGGCTGACTCGGTCTTTGTGGGTACGAGCTGCGTTCTGTTGCATACCCTGTTTGAGATAGACATTGGTCACTTCTGTGTCTGTCAGGAATAGACTGACGGATTGAGGGGTGAACATAATTGTCTTTTTCGTCTTCTCATTCGTGGTTTCTTCCCTTGTGAGCACCTGTCTGTTCAATTGTTTCATATTGGGTTACGGCGCTCATAGCCCTTTGTCGCAGTCGTGACGATGCCCCATCTGCCTGCGGTGGTAGTTCTGATTCCCGCTCGCTGCTGCCGCAGTTCTGACTCACTCCCTGCCGCCGCAGTTCTGACCCCCTGTTGTTTGCATCGCAGCTGGCCGTGGTGCCGCCGCGGGACTCGTCGTCTTCCGAGGATATCAGCTCGATGACGGAGGAGGAGATCGCGCGCCGACTGCTGGAGCTGCAGCGGGCTGGGCGACGCTCTCTGCAGGACTCCTTCGACGACGTGGTGGGTGTCGCGTCGACGCCGGCCAGACCGGGCGTTCCGGCTGGCGGAGAGGTCGGCCGCTCCCGAGGCTGGGCTCCGGGGCAGCGCCCGCTCATTGCGGAACTAAACACACGATCCGTGTGGTTCGATGCATATGCGTAAGATCTGTCCTGTGGCGATCGTGTGGTACTGAATGGCCCCTGATGCCGTGACAGGCTGGCTTTACTTGGCATCACAGGGTGGCCTTAATATCCATCACAGACTGACCTCAGTCACTTTCCGGCCGCTGACCGAGTGTCGGTCTCCCCTGCGCCGCTGTCCGGACATCGGTCCCCGTTTCTGCCGCTGACCGGGTGCCGGTCTCCTCTGGGCCGCGGACCGGTATCGGTCCCCGCCTCGGTCGCTGCCCGCGTGTCGTTTGTCGATCGTCCCTGGGCCGCTGACGGGGTGTCGGTCGTCCCTGGGCCGCTGACGAGGTGTCGGTCTCCGCCCCGCCCGCTGACGGGGTGTTTGCTGACGCAGATGGCCGGGGTCCAGCGTGCAGCGGCTGCCGACCTGGAGCGGGACGGCGGCGCCATCGGCCGCGAAGAGCGACAACTTGCCGACAAGATACGCCGCTGCAACCAAGCTCTCCGGGACACCGTGACCACCCTGCTGCGGCTCAAGGAGCGGGGTGCGTATCCACCGCTGTCCTCCCGCACGCGGGGGTGACCTGCGGCGGGGGACCTGTTCTCAGCCGACCAGCAGCGCACCTGACCACCAAGTCCGCTTGTCCGCGGGCATGTCCGTCCCGCACCACGCTGCCGAAGGCCGGCACACAACCATAGCAATGTACGCCGCCTTCTGGCCAGAAAGATCGATCCTGTGACTCACGTTTTCCTGTAGCATAGCATGCAGCTGTGCACACGTTGTGAAGTGAAGCGTTGGGTCGCGTTGCGGCCTGCTCCAGAGTTATCACTGATGTCACAGCCACCAGGTGGCACGACGCTATAGATGCGGTACATCGAAAGTGCTGGTATCTCTAGTGTCGGGTAGGGAAAATCCTCTCCAAAAGTACTACGCTGATATCGGTTACATCGTACGGAGGGTTGAAGAAATTCTAGGGTGAGACGGCTTTACCAACGCTGATAGTACAAGTTTTATATGGTGTCATGCAATTAAGAGTAGATTCGGTACATTTGTGCAGTGACCGTTATCATTTTGATGCGGAACCGGCACGGCACAAAGGCGGTATGGCATAAGGCTGCACCCATCTCGTATCGGGTGGGGAAAATCCTCTCTAACTTCACGACAGCGAGGAGCGCTTCTTTTCAGTCCTTTGTTTGGACATAACACCTGCGAGAGCGTTCTGTCTTATTGATGGCATGGCCCATTTAAGATCGCTTTTGTTACTTGACAGGCGACCTATTGATCTTATTTTTTTTAAATGCGTTTATTCGAATACTTCAGGGGACGAACAATGCTCTGGTTTTTCCGAATTGTCGTATCTATGTCAGCTCAAAAGCTAATTATCAGTGATCTCACAGTCCCCCCTCCCCTCCTGGTTGGGCGACGATGTAAAATGGACCCGTCGGACGAGGAGGCATTTCCGGGTTAAGTGAGTATGTAAATGAAATGGCGTGCTAGCGCAGTATGCTTATTGCCAGTCTGAAGCTCCATCAGTGTGTTTGTTGCCAATCTGAGGCTCCATCAGTATGTTTGTTGCCAATCTGAAGCTCCATCAGCATATTTGTTGCCAATCTGAAGCCCCATTCGTACACCTGTCGAGCGGAGGAAGTCCGACAACCGTTGCTTGGTTACGGAATAATGTCCGTGATACCGTATCTGTTTTGGAAGCAGCATGGGAGTGTTGTGTTGACCTGCTTTTGACTTTTTACGTTTTTAAATGTTCAATTGAAATTTTGCATTGCATCACTTAACTCTTTATCCTTTGATGTTGTTTTAAACTTTTTCGCCTTGATCTTTTTTCGCTTTTTCCACTTCATTTTTTACCTTTGACATGTTGTCCTGCAACATTCACAAAAATGGGGAAATGAAGGAGACTGTCAAGGGTTAGGACAACAGCCAGTTCCAGCTTTTCTAGCACGAGTTGACAGCATATGTCCTGTGTCCTCAACGTGATGGCATGGCAAAACGTGTGTTGATTTGTTGTGTCGCAGCCAGTGCGGCCTATATATTCCTTTATGGTCGACACCATTATCTTCCTGCATCGCTAAGAATCCATTTCACAAAGAAAAATGAGTATTGCGTTTTGCAGTAGATACCCGCATAAGTGCGCTGTACAATGACTGCCTTGACATCCCATCGCGCCGGTATGTCATCAAGTTTGGCTTCCATTTGAACGATAATGACAGAACTTGTCGAAAGGGCTTTAAGAGAAAACGTCGTGGAGCGCGAGGCGTTGACTGCCATTCCGTTTAAATCGTTCGTGATCCTTTTTGAAAAGGCGCGGTCCAGCAAGTTCCATGGCTGGGCATGATCGGACACCAGCCCAAGACGTCAACAGCATAAGGTGCTGCTAGGTTATGGCACGATTGTACGAGATTTGATAATGCTAAGTGTATCCTACGGTTTGTGTTCATAAGTGCTGGGCCTGCAAGTCTAGTTTCATTGTTAGGTGGTCAGGTTTCTGACGCGTGCCCATGCCTTGTATGTAGGCCGTGTCGGCTAGAACAGGCCTGAGCAGTGTACGCGCCTGTGTGTGTGCCGGTTATCGGCCGGCTGACCCCAGTTCCCATCCGGCCGCTGTGTCGGCGCGTACTATGTGGGTGCGGGTGGGCCCGCTTTGCCGCCACGTCACCGTCACCGTCACCGTCGGCCGCTCGCTGTGCCGGCAGGTGCCGCGCTGGCGATGGCGCCGCACGGCTCGCTGCCGCCGCTGCAGGAGATCCCCCTGTCGGGCAGCCCGCCGGCCGGGCCCACGCGGCGGGACGGCGCCACGGACGCGCCGTCAGGCCGCTGGCCGGCCGACCCGACGCCGCCCATCTGCCCGCTCTGTGGCGCCCGCTTCGGCCCGCCCACCACGCGCGCCGAATTCGAGGACCACGTGTACGCACACGTGCTGGACATGACGGCAGAGGAGGGATCGAACGGGGACGAGCCGGCCGAGACGCCGATGCTGCTGGGCCAATAGCGTCTGGACTCTCGGTGGTGGCGTCGCTGCTGGGCCAGTAGTGTCCAGACACTCGACGGTGATGTCGCTACTGGGCCAGTAGTGTCCAGACACTCGACGGTGACGTCGCTGCTGGACCAGTAGTGTCCAGACACTCGACGGTGACGCCGCTGCTGGCCGTTACGCCCACGATGGCCCCGTATAATCGGCTTTCCACCAGACTTGCCGTCCGAAGCCACCGGCGCTTGCGGCACACGCCGCGCGGCCGCCGGAGCGCTGGGCCAGTGGGGCGCTCGGCGAAACAGCCCGGCCGCACTGGACAACGGCTGCCGACCGGCCCGCGGCCGGCGGCCGGGCCGCCACCGCCTATGAATCTCGACACGGTCGGTGCAGCATCCAGCAAGCGCTGGGAAGGCAGCATCACTGGGCCGCGGTGCGCTGCCCGCCCCGCTCGAACGTGACGTCTGCCGTGGCCCGTGTCCGGTGACTGGGGCTGGCGGGGCGGGGCGCCGCCTCGGTGACCGCGCGAACCGGTGGGAAGGGTGAACGCCGGCGGCGGATGCGCCGATTGTGGCCTGCTGTCTCTAGGCTGGCGGGCTGGGTCGAGATGGACCGACGTGGCACGTTATAGCCGTGACATGCTGTGGTGGTCCCCGGCTGCTCAATGCGTGCGAGTATTGTTTTTCGTCGATATGCTGTTGCGCACGAAATATATTTTTGATAGCCGGCTATGAATGCAACCAGAACATGTTCATTCAATTGTTGAATGATGTGTGTTCCTGCGATCGGACATCATCGGTGTCCATGTCTATTCGTCAGGTTTTTGCATGTGTGTGCACGTGGACTGGGTGTCTATGCCTTCCTTTGAATAAAGTGCGTGAAAGCCGCCACCGATGTGCAGACGCAGCCTGTTTACTTCTAATTTACGCTTCGCCTCCAGACTGCCGGCAAACTCTGCCTCCATGTTATCATCCCCGAGCTCGTCATATCTCGCGATGTTTACGAACTTGTAGCCGCTCCGTCGTTGGAACAGTGAAAGGGTGCAAGACAATACATCTCCGCTGGAGATCGAAATTCGAGGTCGAGGGGGGTCCGAATCCCCCTTGCACCCAGGCCTCAGCGCCGACTGGCCTCCATTTGGGTGCCAGGTGTATGTTAAGTTTTGCGACGCTATGCGACTTTTAGCAGGCATTTGGCACCGGGACCGCCCACCCACCTCGGAATACCCGGGGGACTGCCCAACACTCTGGAGGTGGTCACCGCCGGGTGCACGCCGGTGGTATACGGGACAAACGACGCGTCGTGCACAGCCAGGTGTGGCTGGGGAGATTCCTCCCTGTCCTGAACATGGTTCATCGCCGCCGCCCCTGGACCCCTTGGACCGCTGCGCACAGCCGGCCACCCCAAGCGGAGGCCCGCACAGAGCACCCAGCCACAGCGCGAGCAACAAGCCGCTAGGCCCCTGTGGGGCTCCATGTACCCCGCGCCCCCGGATATCCCGGCCGAAGTGTGGGGTGCGCCTTGGAGTGTTGGAATGCGCCTTGACTCACCTGCACGACGGGCCCCTCAGCGAAAACATTGGATGGCCTTATACGTTTTTGAACTCATTTCGACCCACTCTACTCAACTTATGAGACCCTTTATATCTCCCCAGGAAAGGGGCCCCTTAAGCAGAACACTGCGGAGCACATTATTGTTCCCGGTCAAAGGCTGAAGGACCATTCTATCCCTCCGTAGTGTGTTTTCCTGTCGTCATTCTGGCGGCACGGGGCGGGATCCCCTGGTCGATCCAGAGGCCCTTAGAGGGATATATTATGCCACGTTGTTGTGCTCCCTGACACAGAAGGCCCTCTGACACACGCAGTTGACCCCGGATCGACACAGAAACCCGCATTGGCACAGCAACATTCCTGATCGCCGCAGGTGGCCAAGTAATTGGCACATAGACTCCAGTTCGGCGTAACGGGTCCTTGCTAAAACTGGGCTAGAAGCCCCTCTGTACGGTACTGGGAGCCCTGACTGGCGTAGGACCCTTCTACTGCTTCAATGTGGGCACCCACCACAAGTTCTCATGTTTCCTTTCATTGTCAGAACTCCCCAACCAACGCAAGAGGTCCTCTGTCATTCAGACTCATATCCCCGTCTCTGATGAGCACATCTTACCCTGACCGATTCGAGGCCCGTTGTTGACACAGCATGCCCTGTTAGGCACTGTAGGCCCTTGAACGATACAAGAGCCCTGACCAATGTCAGTTGCGGGCCCGACCATGTAACTGCTTGAGAAATGGGCCCCAGAGCTCAGACCAACACGGAGCCGACTGTTCGTTGTTGGTGATCTCTGGCCGACATAAAGGAACGCTACATCTCAGCGGTCCACATCGGTGAAAGAGGTCCTCCTTCTAATATTTGAGATCACGTGTAAACGCGTAACCCAGCCTGGCGCTATTAGCTGGAAGGAATAGCGAAGCTCATTTTAACCACGGCTACTAGATCTACAAGTTATGTGAACCTGGCGAACAGTGCCGTACTCGCGGGGACTGGATTTCTTAGTAAATACGAGTTATTGTGGACTAGGTTGCTGGGTTTATACAACATAACATCATGATAAAATGGATTTTCATGGGAAATGAATGCCATATAACTTTAACATATAGCTTATGCTGGAACAGCTCATGGGATTTCGCTATTTACATGAATAACGAAGCAAAACTGAGCGATTTAGTAGAGATTAACATCGCGCGCTAAAAAAAATTCGTTGTGCAAAATGAAATACCTGTTCAAAATGCGTTGGGTTGTAGTTGTTGTCATGGTTACGAGTGTCTGCCAGCTCACGGCTCGGTGCAAGGTTTTAGAAACAATACGGCTTGGTGCAAGTATCCAGAGAGCAGTTTAGAACGCATGAAGTTCTCTTATTGACCGGTTTGCATTTCTTCAGATATGGTGCGCCGTCTTGTGCCGGGGTGTGCTGCGAAACCGGAACACGACAGCCAACATCGTGATATTTTTCGTAGAATTCCCTCGGACAAGGCGCGCAAAAATGCATGGATTTGTGCCTGCCGTCATAAAACCCCTCCTCAAGACGTGAGCGCCAGAGTTTGATCAACACATTTTTCCTCCAAGAGATTATCAATGTGATTTGAGATTTGAGTTGGTCTATCCTGAGTTGGTCCCAGCATCAAACCCTGGGCGAAAGCTGCGTGCCTCCGCTGTGCCGTCAAGGCATATCCCTGGAAGGCACGATGAATCACGGAAAGCTATATTTTATTTAAAGCCATTTTCTTCATATGTCGGGTAGAAGCTGGGTATCAACTCTCCTTAACTGCCGGCAAAATTTAACATTAGCCCCGCACCACCCACATTTACAGAGTTTCTTCCGTTGATGACACATATACTCATCGTTAGTGAAAGATCTTGTTATAAAATGGGGTGCCACTGCAGATCTGGTCATTTTATTTCATGCACCGCCTAAAGGCTCATGTTGAACATCCTCAAAAACCATGGGCCATGACTCTCTGTCCTCTGTTTTCTCACGATAGTGCGCATAACTTTGCATCCATTGGTTTTTTATATGAGTTGGGCAAACTGTGCCGCTGTTTTCCGACGTGACATGGCACAGCCTGCAGATTTAAAACTTATTTTCGGTGCAGGGTTGACCGCATAACTGAATGACTGAGAATATTGGGCAAGGGTCATTTAGTGTTATAAATTGTAGTCTTTTAACCTGTCTGAGGCGATTCTTTTGATACGTTTCATCATAAGGTAATAATGACCTTTTGGAGCAAATGCATGGCAATCTTGTCAAAGTCACATGTGGCCGATGTTTGCACGAACTACGAACGCAACTGAACATCCGTAGCAATGATTTGTGCTCTCCGACTGTTCTAGCACAAATCTGGGCATGAAGTCATCGTTCCTAATTTGATATGGTTGATGTACAGCCACAAACCCAGACTGATCAGCCATCATGATGAAGTGAAAAATCGGCGGGATTTTATTGCTCAAGCGATCGGGGATATGCAATGGTATTGTTTGCATCTTGATCAGCACTTTTTGAACGACGTCCCTAATTTGCTGTACTGAAGCGCGAAAATATTAGCATGAATCATTTGGTATCCACATGGTGTTTTTGGTTTCATTGATTGTTAGGAAAAGTCGAGGCATGAAAAGTTCCTTTCACAGTTATCCACATCCACAGTTGCCAGTAACGGCATCATAGCCATGATGTAACTCAACACAATATGGCGTTTTTGAATATATGAATTTCTGTGTCTGACTGTCCGACCTCTAATGCCGCCGGTTTGTACGGCTTCCCTTTGTTCAGCGGCCCTTTGGACCATGACTCTGCTGAGAAGCGTCCTCCCACCACCGTCCCAGGTCCGTCTGAGAAGGGGTGCACAGACTGCATGCTGATGGCACCCGAGCTCAATACATGGCGGACCAAGGCAGGTGGCACTACTAGAAAAAGAAAAACAGGTCACTGCGATGGAGGACCGCCTTAACGGAATGTTCGGCACTCAGCAGGAGGGATTGATCAGCGCCGGGGTTTCAGAACGCACCCCACATACTAAAAAAAAAATATTTCCTTTACACGCTGGTTCGTTCGTACGTCCGTTCATCATCCATCTGTCCGTCCGTCCATTCACTCATTCACTCATTCATTCACTCGCTCATTTATCCATCCGGTCATTTATTCATGCATTCATTCATTTGTTCGATTGCTTGAACAACATCTATAGGTATCTGTTGGTGAGTTGACATACAGGGGTTCTTGTTGGTTTTGTTTATATTCTGACATTTCTTTGGTAGATGTTGATTTTATGTTCGTCAACGAACTGTGTGAGTCCTATGTTAAAACAACTGCCGCGCTGTAATGCTGGCACTAAAAAACACGACTTCGCTGCGTTTTGCACTTCGCAATGCACTGAAAAACAGCAGAGCAAGGACTGAACCAAATAGCATAGACGATTACACGAAATGCATTGGAAGAAGATAATGAGCTTTCCAGCATTTTGCCGTCATAT